GCTTCAACTACAAGTCTTTGACTCCCTATGGATCGTTGAGTAAGTTCCTCTTTCACATTTACTACTTTAACCCCACACCAAGATTGACACCATTAGCGACAATCACACACTGTCATTTTCCTTTGGTGTCATATATTCCCAAGTTCATGATACGCGTAAATGACATGGCATTACACTTTCCTTGCGACAGACGACACCGCGATGCTGTGGGGAGTGAAATTCTACAACGATTTCCTGTCTCAAGCGGGCCCCTTAGGGAACGTCCAGTCAGAGCTTCTGTTGAGAAAGGATTTATCAAGCTTCACTTTTGAGAAGGGATGGGCTTTCCCACACAGAGTCTATTTCAATGGGGACAATTGTGTCATGCCACCACCAGATGCGTATCCGTATTTGCCAAACGCGACTTCTAGACGCGCGGCAGCCTCTCTTCTCTCTCTAGTATTGATCACATTCCTCTTTGCGTGCTTCTAAAACGAATCATTTTGGAATTCTCTGTGTAATATAGTGTCATTTTCGCGTGCCGTTTATTGTTTGAATTTGTTGTTTTTTTTTACACTTCAAAGTTATAAGAACATATTGTCTGTAGGTGTTTTGAGTTCATAGTGTTTCTATAGCCTGTACCACAATAATGAATAATTTACTAAATCTTTGTTAACATAAATTCTATGACAGCATTTTTGGCATTGTAATTATTTTGTACTCTGTATTCCATTTAACTAATCCAATTTATGCCATCTTTGTGTAGATTCTTTGCACGGTTTCATTTTGACTTTTGGTAAAAATCAATTTTACTGAATGATTCCTTCAGGTGTGGTAAATGGCAATCACTCTTTACTATTCAAAAGTAAATTTATTAACAAAATACTCCATCCACACAAAAAAAACACTCTTTACTATTCAAAAGTAGCGGAAATTTTTGTTTATTGTGTTTTGATTGATTATTTAATAGAATAAAATATTATATACTCCGTAGTTTTTAAAATGTAAAAATTCTGTTTTGATAAGACAAAAGTTTTATATTTAATTTTTTACTAATCTTTAAATAAAATGAATTTAAAAAACTTAAAATTTCGTTTCGTAAAAATGTAAAACAAAACTCACATATATAAACGGACAATTTCGGTATCCAAACTAATTGGGCCTCACATTAAATTCGATCTGCAAACTAATTTAATTAGTGGGAAATACCTAATGGGCTTGCGGGCTTGAACATTTTGCTTTAGAGCATGTACAATTGTGAGACAAAAATGGAATGTCACACGGTGATGTGGAAAATTTGAACCAAGCAAAAACATCTTAATCAGCGTGTGGTAAGTGACTGGAGTGACATGCTATAGAGTGGCAAGTTATTGTTTTTTACACTTTTTATCTTTTTTTTATGTATATTAATTATTAAAAAATATTTTATTTATCTTTTATTTACTCCGTACAAAAATAAATATACATACTCTATTAAAAAGCAAATATGTTTTCTTATACAAAATAAAAAATTAAAAAATTAAAAAAGAAAAACAAAAAGAAAAAAATTTGCCTCGCAGGTTACTCGCAAGTGAAGTAAAAAATGGTTGCCATGCCACGGTTTTAGAAGAGAAAGCTGAGTTGGCAGGGCGAGGCACTCACACCCCTCGCCGCTGCTAATGCTCTTATGTTATCATCAGCCCACTTATTCGCAGCCTCCGTCTTCTTGTTTTTTTCCTAGAATTGACTGGTCTTCTTCTTGAGACTTCTTCTTTTGTTTCTAATTATAGTTTTGATTTTTTTTATCTTTTACCCCGTAGTTTCTAATTTCAGTCTTTTATTATTTACTGAATAAGTTTTTAACTTCAGTTTTTAGTTTCTAATTTTCTTTTAGTTTAATTTAAAATATTAAATGAAATATTTAAAAACAAAAATAAAAGAGATTATGAATCCAAACACGTGAATTCACTGAATTGGCATGAAATGTGAATGAAAAAGAAAATTAACGTGAGAAAAATCGCTCATCCAACCTCAACTGTTCATAATTAATTGTCGTTTGTAACTCTTGGCAAACTCTTACTTGGTCTTAAACTTTATATCCATTTTATAAATTTAAGTGCATTGATATCATAAAAGAATGGAGTTCTTTTACAAAACAAATTTACTTGTCAGCTCATAAAAAAGTGAGAAGATCCACATTTCATATTTAGAATTTAAAACTATTGAAGAACATCTTATACGTGTATAAGTATAAGGGTATTATTGGAGAAATAAGAAATTAAGAATAACTATCTTGTTACGTCACATCCTCATCACGTGGATGATGGCATATGTGCTCCTAATGGGCCTGTAACAAACGGGCCATGTAGGGCCTATACTCACCTTAACATAAGTTACCGCAACTCTTGTATGGTTCTTGAATCCACTCTTATTTAATTTTCACACAAAAAAGGTTAGGAGAACACAGATTAAGAGAACATGCTGAATTATAGGTTAACATTAATCTTCATGGTCAACCTAATACTTCCTCTGTCCCGAAAAACATGTGAGTTTTGATTTTAAAGAGAGATTTAAGGAGAGTATATTTTGGTATTGAATTTCTAAATATGTTCTTTGATGTGATGAGTAAAAGTATGATTTGATAGATAGATTATTAGTAAAAAGGTATGATGTGATAGGTAGAGTATGAAAAAGTAAGGGGTAGAAGTGACTTTTTAATAGAAATGAGAAGTGTTTTTTTAGGACAGATGAAAAAAGAAAGGAGAAAGGTTTTCAGGGACGGAGGGAGTATATTTTTTAATGTGTTCATAAAAAATTGATATTTTCAATTTTTTGATCTATGCCACAAAATCAAAATCAATCCAACACATGCATGGATTTGTATATATGTACGTTAGGCGGTCCAGAATGAAAAAATATACGGAGTATATATCATGTTATTATGCATCTCTATAGGTGTATTGATTGAATAAAGTTGTGCGCAAAAACCCAACAAGAAAGACGACTACACCGTGGTTCTTTTGATATTAGACTCGAAATAGGAGTTCAAGTACATTTACATTACAAATCATGACTATGTACATTATTAAAAGGTATAGTAAAATGCTCTTGTACAGTGTCATGTTACCACATGGCGAACTTCTATATAGGAAATAAAAATTAAACATGTCTATTTTGGTACTTTTATATGTTTTACTCCTATTTAAGGTGATTTCTTTATGATATTAATTTTGAAATAGGAGAGAAATAATATAAAAAGAAAATATTTGTCTGGGAAGGACGGACTATTTGACCGCCTAAGAACATCTCCAACGTTGAAGCTAAATGCTAAAAAATATTAATTTTAACAATTATCTTTCATTTGTATGCACTTTAAATGGGAAAAGAGACTAAAATAGGAGTAAAACATTGAAAATATATCAAAATAGGATGTTCATGCATGTTTTTATTACCAAAATAGGAGTTAAAATGCATTTAAACTACCAAACGTGGTCATGTACATTACTAAAATGTATAGTAATGTACACATGTACAATGCCACATTACAACTACATTACCACAGTGCGAAGTTCTATTTCAGGAATAAAAACATGAAACTCCTATTTTGATATTTTTTTTATATGTTTTACTCCTATTTAGAGTAATTTCTACTCTAAATTATAGCAAAATTGATATAGTAACAAACCCGGCTATTTGTTATTTATGGCAAGCATATATATTTATTATTTTAACAAACATACGTGTTAATTAAATTTTATATTTTACACATAAATGTGAATGTATAAAAAAAGTATGAAATGAATATTTTTTATTTAAAAATATTTGTAGAATATCATATTAGCATGGTTGGAGAAGTAGTTAAAATGGTACATAAAACAATGTTCATTTGCTAAAATTGCATTTAGCGTTTCTCACACATCGGAAAAGAAACAATAAAGTGTCCAGCATATAAGTTTCATAGTCTCTTCTCCTATCACCAATTGGTTTTAGATTGGAGCCCCCATGGACTTATGTGTTGGACCTATCATGCAAGTGTGCACAAATTGATTTGTGCCCCCCATGTTATCTTTGGCCCATTGGACTTTTATCACTATTTATCTACAACTAAATAAAATCATTTTTTAAAATTCTAAATAATTTTAAATCATCTAAAATATTTGTGTTGAACTTTATTAAATTATAGAGAAATTTATCTAAATAACACTAAAACATAATGACCTTTTCTAAAAAGCATCATATATTTTTATTTCCCAATTAGCACTTTTAGTCATTATCTATTAGTCATTATTCAAGTAAATGTTCATTATCACTGGACATTATTCCTCTTTCTAGACATTATTAAGCGCTATTTAGAGAATAAAAAATTTTAAGTCATACATTGAAAAATAACTTATGTTTTAGTGCTATTTACTGCAAATATTTCTAAATTATATTTATACTTTTATTTATTATATTTTCATCCATCCTATATATGGTATCTGAAATTATTTTTTCATATTTAATGACTTTTTATTTTAAAAATGGACCAAATTGAGAAAACACACAATTAGAAAGGATCTTTCAAGAAATCAATGTAAGTTTTAACGTCGTTTTGACGTTGTTGTGATGACGGTTAGTCAGAGAACTAAATTGAGCATTTCTCTCAGCTAACGAATACCATCTCAGTAATTAATTAATTTTAAAGACTAATTTAAAAAAACACATAGTTATTGAGTACCATTTAAGGAATTACTCTAAAGAAAATCATATTTTAATAAGCAAAAATACTACTTTTGTACAATTGTACTCTATATGATTAAAGGAAATTATTTTTAAAAAAACAAATAAAGGAGAAACGTCAATTTTTTATATGATCGAGGAGGAGGAGATGGAGTATAAATCAAATTAAAGGGATATATGCATAGTTTTGCGAGTGTTCCTTTAATTCATTGCATCAATTTGTCATCTCTCCACCTTAAATTTGTCTGCATGGAGCTCGAACCGGCTTCGAACTCAAACTAAACAAATATACTATAACGGATGTAATATAAAATATAGGGTAAGGAGTGTGGGAGCTAAAATTTCTAATTTTTTAATACTCCCTCCGTCCTGGAGTATTCGTCCAGTTTTGACTTTTGGAACTGTTCATCTAAGCACTTTGACTCATCAAATTCTCTCAATGTGTAAGCCTAAATATAGTCATGTGTGATCTTGTTTGATTTGTCTTAACATATAGATTATTAATATATAATTTCTATAATTTTTTAATATACAAATTACAAGATAAAATGGATTAAAGAAGTGTATTGGATGGTGTGTAAAAATAAAAGTGGACAAATACTCTGGGACGGAAGGAGTACTACAATTCAAGTAAACTTAAATAATTCATCTTTTATATGGAGTAGCTAGCTATGATGTGGAATGAAATTGAAAGGTAATAATAAGATGGTCATTAAATACTCCCTCCGTCCCAAATTATTTGCAACGTTGGCTTTTTCAGCAGTCGCGGGAACTTTTGTTTATTTTCTACGTTTTCATTGGTTATTTGATAAAATAAAATATTCTTGACACATCTTATTTCGAAGAACTTTTCATGTAGTTTTTTAATATGTAAATTTTATTTTTTATTTCTATACAAATATGTAAATAAAATGAATTGAAAAAACTTAATATTTTGTCTCGGGAATACAAATGTGGTAAATATTTAGGGACGGAAGGAGTATAATGAATACTAGTAGTCAATTTTAGTTGGGTGTACAAGTTGTTGAGTGAGTCATGGGTAATGCTTGTCATTAATTAATACTCCGTATTTTTTGCCTTTTAAAACTCAATATTGAAAAAAGTGGCCTCGGGGCAGCTTCAGTACAAAAAAACCTTCCATTGCTTAGCTTATTGTCCAATGGGCGCACGTGTGCTGCATTCAATTCGGTCAAACCAGACACGCATGCATCGCAATTCGTGTCACCTCCAAAATTGCCAACTTCACTCTCTCTTACTAGGATACGTGATCTTATTTACATATTTGTTTGGAAATAATTTTAGAGATTAGCGTAAGTATTTTGAATAAAATTTTAACTGTGTAAATTACTCTGAAAACGGTAACGCTAGATGCTGCAATTCGCTAAGTTTACTTAGTTTTTATTCACGCTTTTCGTATACTAATCTTATAACGCTGCGATTCGCAGCGTTGTTGTTTCTAACAGTTTCGCAACAGGTAGCATATGTTATATATGACGGTCTAAGTAGAGCAATTAAGATACTCATAGAAGAATCACATATATGAGGGTAAAGTGGGATTGTTTAAACACGAGGATTTGGAGCTTAATTAATCTTCTTGACACTCTTTTAAAACAATGTGCATGTCTTACAACCATAAAGGGCATAACATGCATGAGAACAAAATAACATTTAGTGAAAATTTTTGTATGACCATTTGTACAAATGGCAGTACAAATTAGACTTATTGCATTTTATTAAATGGCTGGTAAAGAAAGTATGTCTTACAAGGGATAGATTCAAAGGTGAAGACCAATATCTATTCTTTGCATGTTTTAATATCGACCACCAAATCAATATTTCATTTATATGATGATCGTTGGACACTTTAGCTAATATATGCATGCCAGCAACTACTTTGGGTTTATTTATCAGAAATAGAAAAATAAGTTATAAAGAAATGTTGACCAGTAAACCACCGGTGAACAATCAATATCGTGGTCTGGCAGCGACACCCTAGCAACGACAAATGGTAGTGTGACGACGATTAATGGTAGTGTGACGTTGGTAGATGAGAGTATGGTGGGAATTGACAATGATTGCATATGTGTGGAGTCATATTTAAATTTTAAAAGACTAGTACTTCTATTTTAGTAATTTCATACTCATTTACTCATATTTAGGGAGATCTTCTATTTAGAAAATTAGGAGTTGAAAAAACTTAAAAGTAGTTAGAAAATAAATGGAGTTAGAAAAATAGAAAGAGTTAAAAAATGATGAAAAATAAAAAGGTGTTGAAATAATAAATATTATATTTTGAAATTGTAATTTTTTAAAAAGTTTATACTTTTATTTAGTTTTCATAAGAGTAAATCATCTTCCAAAAATTATAGATAAAAGGAACGACATGTTTTATTAATCGTAATAACTTGGAGGAGAAAATTATTATTTTAATTCAATGAATAACAGTTACACCACTACGTTATGAAAAAAAGAAAACCCTCCCCAAAAATGTTTAAGAAAACAAAAATCGGATAACAAAAAATTATCTTCGTCCATGTTTAAATTTAAAGGCCGTACATTGGAAATTTGGATACATAGTAAAGAAAACTCTCTAAATAGGAGTAAAACAAATGTCATATTCTCAAAATAGGAGTTCAAACCTAAACTCCTCTAAATATGAGTAATTAATTAAATTTTGTTTTCATTTACTCTTCCAGACAAACCACACCACATCTCAGCCCTGTGCAATCGAAAAAGTCACCCGATCCCTTAACAATATCTTCCTTCCATTCTCCGGTCTCCTTCTTCGATCTAATCACAATTGTTGACGCTGCCAACTCAATCTCAAGTCCCTCTCCGCCGTTACCATCTCCTCTATGTGGAAATGATTCCACCGCACTCTCCATCATTTTCCTTTCTCTCATACACACAATCTCCTTCCACCCTTCTCTACCATTTCCATTTTCCGTCGCTCTGATGCATCCGCTCCCTTGGGTAAGTTTGAATTCAATTTAATTAGTAGTTAAATTCAAATTTAAATCTAAAAATTGACTTCTTAGGAATTGTAAAATTAGTACTAATTCTTTTAGCTTTGCGTGAGTTTGAAACTTTGGATTCAACTTTATATTCAATTTCACATAAGTTGTGACATTTGATTTTAAATCTGAATTTACTTCTTAGAAAATTAGTGTGTAAAACATATATTGAAACTAAATGATTATTTTATTAGCAAATAGAGTTTCTTGATGTTGAACTTTTTTGAGATTATGCATTAACGTATGTGTAATATGTAACATTATCCATTGGCATATAAGTCATACATTGCCAAGTGTGGCACTATGCATTGTCATACTTGCCATTATCTCTTTGTTTAACATTATGCATTTGCATGTATGACTTTATACAATGACATAATTGTTATTATGCGATTACGTGTGGCGTTAAATATGGTCTTGTTTGACACTGTATGAACATTTTACTGTAGTAATGTATTGAGTTTCTATTTATTGCTTAAGAATTTTGATATATATATATATATATATATATATATATATATATAATAAAGAATTTTGGTATTAAGTATGGTCTTGTTTGACACTCTATGGGCCTGAGGCAATACTTAAAGGTGATGCTTATCGAGTTTCTTTTTTCTTTCTAAATATCAAATCAGACTTAGTTTTGGGCGGTACTTAGTTTTGGGCGTGATTTTGTTGTCGTCCCTTGACAATATACTTAAAAGAATCGTTTATTGACAATATTTTAACTTAGGGTAAAAAAATTTAATCGGCTTAGTAGTAAGCCGTTATTTTGATAAAAAATAAATATAATGTCCTTTTTTATTTTCTGACTCGAAATTATAAATTATTTGTAAAGTCAACCTTTTAATTTAAAAATTAGGTAATTGGGTTGATCTCGTAAAAAGGTGACCAACCGCATATAGTTTGTTAAGTTCAGACTTTGATATAGAAAGTTATGAGCATAATAGATGTTACAGTTCAAAAAATAAATATAAAGATTTTATAATAATAATAATAATAATAATAATAATAATAAAGAATTAATTAATTTCTTAATCTATTCCTAATTCCTACCCGTAACTCCAAGCCAAGGCCCATCCCCCCTAAGTGTATAAATACACACACATGGAAGAAAAAAAAGGAAAAGAAGGGAGAAGAGAGCCGTAAGAACTACCTTAAGTTTAATTTATTGCTCCTATTTAGTGGAGTTTAAGTTTGAGATCCTATTTTAAGAATATGATATACTCTCTCAGTCCCACTGCCTTTGTCCACTTACATTTTGGCACACCATCCAATGTACTTCTTTAATCCATTTTATCTTGTAATTTGTATATTAAAAAATTATAAAAATTATATATTAATAATCTATATTTTAAGACGAATCAAAGAAGATTACACATGACTATTTTTAGGCTTACACATTGAGAGAATTTGATGAGTCAAAATGCTTAGATGAACAGTTCCAAAAGTCAAAAGTGGACAAAGACAGTGGGACGGAGGTAGTAACTTTTATTCCTAGTTTAGTCTTCTCTTATAAACAAATTGACAGCTAGAGGGCTTCCACGAAAATGCAGAATTATTATTCCCAAATTTACAGTACAGACAGAACCAAATTACGGAATACGGAGGACTAAATATATATATGTCTCTCTTTTATTCACATGTTGTGCCTCCCATTTCTGTTCTTGCTTTTCTTTCACCCGCAGGTCGATCTAAACAATCTCGGATTTTTTTTCTTTTTTTCCCAGAAATAATATTCATTTTTAATACGTAGTATTCACGATTCAAATATCTCGTTTATATTAATTTCTGCTTGCCCACAAAAAAAATATTATTGCTAGATTCTATCCGGAAAGATTTGTATTGCTTTTTTTTATTTATTTTATTTTGTTTTGCACATCTATCCTTTATGTGCGAGTTTTCGTTGGCATCCACTTTTAAAACGCAAGAGTATATTAGTACAATTTGCAAGTGTGTGTACATTCTTGTCATTTTTGAAACATATTGTATTGGTGAATAATTTAGAAATCGGTCGGATTGGACTAGTCTTTTTAGAAAGACCGGTACTATATAAGACGAGATTGGTCCGGTCATTTTTTAAAATTCGCGAGACTAGTCTGGTCTTTGTTAAAAAATACTCCCTCCGTCTCTAAATAAATTTCCCCTTTCATTTTTTCTTTGTCCCCAAATAAATTTCTTTTTTCCCTTAAAAAATCACGTTTACCCCTTACTTTTTCAAACCCTACCTATCACATCATACATTTTTACTAATAATCTATATATCACATCTTACTTTTACACATCACATCAAGGGTATTTTTGGAAAGTCAACACAAAAATATCTCTCCCTTAAATCCTCAAAAAGTCAAAAAAAAAGTTTATTTAGGGACGGAGGGAGTAGAAACTTTTTTGGACAGAGTAGACCGGCTAGGACCGGCCATAATCTGGTCAGGTCTCGATTTTATGTGAATTTTAAAATGTTACGGAGTAATTTTTAGTTTTTTAGAAAACCAAAAAGTGTAGTTATTACTCCTTCCTTCCCTAAAAGATTGTCACAGTAAGTCAAATTGTGGCACCATTTGATCGCGAAATATGGAAAAAATTTATTTAATTATAATGTAAATTTGATAAAATTGGGTTTATATCAAAATATAGTTTTGAAATATCAAAATTTTATAATATTTAATTATTTTGAAAAATATTTAGCTCGTGGTTAAAGAGTGCAACTGTTTGACCAAGAAAAGTTAACTTGTGGCAATCTTTTGAGAACAGATGGAGTACTTTTTAATCTGATTTCATCTTCAATTACTACACGTTGATTTTATAAAGTATTCATGCGTAAATATATTTTTCTAACATGGATGTTAAATACAACAAACAGCTTTTTTAAGTATGAACTTATACGTTTGAATTTGTTATTTGAACTTGTCTTAGTCCGACCCCAAATTAGTTATTTTTTAAAAGATCACTGGTTCGAGAAAGGTCTAGTCTTTTCCTTAATTAAGATGACCAAATGAGACTAGCGGTCCGAGATCAGACTAGTTCTAAAGACCACTTTGGTTTCACTCTTTCCCAGTTTGATACCGATCTATTCTGGTCAATCCTTTTGGTCCCAATTTCTTTACTCTTCTCTAGTGAATATGGTCCTTATTATTTTGAATAATACTCGTTTTATTTAGACTTTGTGTTATTCACTTGATCTGATTTATTCAGATCTGATTAAAATAAATTTTGATCTTGTATTTTGAGGCAAATAGACATGAGATATGGATTTTTTAGAAATTATTTTCGATAACACAAATCATTGGAGTTGCGTTCCTCTTTGTTTAGAGGGGAAACTCATTTTGTACTTCACTTTCCGGTGGTTTGTTGTCACCATCCATATCCCCACACACCATCCCTTGCCCTCTCGCCCATCATTAACATTTCCTTGACTTCTTGCACTTTTTTTTATATTTAGTTTTGCACTTTTAAATGAATTGCACTTTGCACATAAGAAAGTAAAACTAGCTAGCTCTATGATTTTTTAATTTATTTTTATTTGAAGATTGATATAGAAATAAAAAATAAAAATTGTATATTTAAAAACTATATCAAAATTTTATGACTCTAGGCAATAATTTTTTTTATTTTATCATATAATCAATAAAAGTACACAAAAAACCAAACATACTGTGATTTTAGAGTAGTACAAAGTGACATTCCTTTAACGTTGAAGGAAGTACTTTTAGTGTTTCTAAAATATAAATTTCTGCATATGTGTCTTTGTGGTCTTAAGATCTACATGTAAATGTGGATTTTGTCACACTTTTCAATGACTTACATCTTTTTGCAAAAGGCCAATTTTTAATGGTATTTAAGGTTTTTAAACTAAGTGTGGACACAGGAGCCACATAAATATTTTTTAAGGTCCATAAACTAAGTGTTAACACAGTAGCCACAAAAGATTTTGCGATAATTGTTTATGGTACACAAATAATTTTTATTTTTTATGTAGTAACATATAACGCACGAGAAAACATAGAGCACCTCAAAGAAAGCACAAAATACACATAGCACGTCAAAAGAAGCACATAATACATTTAAGCAAGGTAATTAAGAGAAAGACGCAAAGTGAAAGCTCCACACAAGGAAGCACACAAGGACATGGGCAAAAACTACCACCAGCCAAAACTCTGTCTAACTATCTTAGTCATAGCTCTCCATACACTCCTATCTAAGATATTATTCTCATTATCGTCCAAAATATAAGGTAATGTCCAACCACATCTTTCCAATTCTTCCTAGGTCTACCTCTTCTAATATTCTCGCCCACCACCGTAAGCTTACACATCTCTGCATTGGGGCATCAGTCGTTGCTTCACGTGCCTAAACGAGCTCAACCTAGCATTGCTCAACTTATCCTCTACAGGTGCCACTCTCACTCGCCCCTGTATAATCTCCTTCTGAATTTTGTTCTGTTTTTTCCTCAACTCTTCCTATTGTCCTGTACTTTGTTTCATTTTTTTAAAATGATTCAGAATGAATGGTTCGAGTCACAATTTTATCCCTATTTGTCCCTTTATATTCGGGAGCGGGATAAAACAGAACGGATTTGGATTGTCCTACTTTTTCATTGTTCAAAATTAGATATAAAAATATAAAATACATAAGGGTGAGAGAACCCACTTTTACTTGCAAAGTAATGAAAAATGATATATTTATTTAGAATGTCTTAGAAAAATCAAAATAATAAGAAAACATGAAAAAATGTTACAACATATGTCAAAAATTATAATAATAAGCTTTATAAAAACTATGAGTTGGGAAGAGATGGATTAGAACAGTCTGGATTTTTAGGTATTCCGATCATAGTCTATTTTTTTAAAATATTTGATTCTGGATTTTTGTTTGTATGTATTTTGGGAAAAACAAAACTTATGAACCTTTTGGAGACCTATAAAGTATCATAGGCCTCTTTTTTAAATTATCATATATTTTGGGTTATATCATATACCCGGAGTATTTTAGAATCATAGCTCTCTTTTTATACTCTCTCCGTCCCTAAATAGATTACAATTTTTTTCTCTCTCCTCTCAATAACTTTTGTTTGTTTACGCGATTTCATTAAATATTTGATAAAATAAAATATTTTTGTCATCTCTTGTTTTGTAGAACTTTTGACGTAGTTTTTTAATATATAATTTTTATATCTTATTGATATACAGTTTGTAAATAAAATGATTTGAAAAAATAGAAAAATTTTACTCCGTAATCCACAATTTGTAATCAAATTGGGGACGGAGAGAGGGAGTAAATTTTTTTTGGGGAAAATGTGAACCTTTTGGAGACCTATATTTTAGGCCTTAAAAGTAGTCCGTAAAAAAACTTGTGATATTGCCCCTATCCCTATTGCATAAATTGGCTTATTAGGCTCCACCCCACCCCCACCCCCACCCCTGCAGTCTGTACGCACGCACGCACGGGCTGGCCTGATTACCCCCCCATACCCTCTATATAAACAGGCGCACACGCTTGTATCTTGATGACTCAATAGAGCAGAAAGAAAGCCCCCCCTCCATTCTCCCCATCTTACCCCTCTGTCAGAACTTGAAGCTTCTTCCTTCGGCAGCCATTAATGGATGTCTTCTTTGCCGTCTTTGTGCTCTGCATCCTCAGCAGCGCTCTTTTGAAATGGAACGAGTTCAGGTTCAAGAAGAAAGGGCTCCCCCCTGGCACCATGGGCTGGCCACTCTTCGGTGAAACCACTGATTTCTTGAAACAAGGCCCCATCTTCATGAAGAACCAGAGAAGGAGGTCATTTTAGTCACTCTAACCTCCTGCTTCTTTTATTATGCTCCCTCCCTCTGTCTCAAAATTAGGTTTCACTTTGTTTAGTTTATAGGGTATTGCTTTATTTTCCTCAGCATAAACCCATCATGTGTCTGGGAAAATGTGAAATCTTGTGTGGGAATCCCTTCTTTGACATATGTTCACCAAGAATGATCCTTTCTTTCTGCTAGAACAGAATAAGTAATTTTTGTCTAATTTTGGTTAAAATGACTGTTTTGGAATGCTAATTTTAAGGCAATAACCCTAGCCAAATGGCTCCTAAATAGCTCTTGACTTGCCGAACGGAGCTTCTGGATAACTTAGGCTCCGTTTGGCAGTCGAACAATTCAGGGATTTGAAGTAAATTGAATAGTTATTTGTGTTTGATGGATGTGAATTTGATTAGTTATTTGTGTTTGATGAATGTGAATGAATTATCAGATATGGGAGTTTCTTTAAGTCACACATACTCGGGTGCCCGACGGTGGTTTCAATGGATCCAGAGGTGAACCGATACATACTGGTGAACGAGGGGAAAGGGCTCGTCCCGGGCTACCCTCAGTCCATGCTTGACATTCTTGGGAAGTGCAACATTGCAGCTGTTCATGGCTCTGCTCACAAGCACATGAGAGGGGCATTATTGTCTCTCATCAGCACTTCCATGATCAAATCCCACCTCTTGCCTAAAATTGATGACTTCATGAGATCCCATGTTAGCTCTTGGGATGGCAAAGTCATTGACATCCAAGAACAAACAAACAAGGTTAGTTTGTTGTAGTTGGTTAGTAGCCTTAAATATCCCACATTGATTGTTCCCACTTTGGAAGTGTCAGTCTTATTTGGTTTTGGGATTGAATCCCAACTATGCTTTTGTGTTGGGAGTTGGGATTCTTTTAAATGAACACTCCATGGTTTTGACCAATTCTTTTTTATTGAAAAAATAATAATATGCAGATGGCATTTCTATCATCATTGAAGCAGATTGCTGGGATTGAATCAACCTCCATAGCAGCAGAGTTTATGCCGGAATTCTTTAAGCTTGTATTGGGGACACTTTCGCTTCCCATCAACCTCCCAAACACAAACTACCAGCACGGGCTGCAGGCCAGGAAGAACATTGTGAGGGTGCTGAGGAAACTCATAGAGCAGAGAAGAGAGTCTGGGGAAAGGCAAGAAGACATGCTTGGGTTCTTGATGAATGAAGAACAGAACCGGCACATGCTTAGTGATGATGAGATGATCGACTTGATCATAACGCTTTTGTACTCCGGGTACGAGACTGTTTCTACTACCTCCATGATGGCTGTCAAGTATTTGAGTGATCACCCACATGTTCTTGATGAGCTAAGAGTAAGTCTCATCATTATTGATGCATTTTTTGTTAAAAGTTCAAAATTTTTGGTGGTGTTGTTGGTTCTTAACTGTTTTGGTTGATGACACACAGAAAGAACACACTGCAATTAGGGAGAAGAAAGGGCCGAGTGATCCGATCGATTACAATGACTTCAAATCGATGCGATTCACACGCGCGGTAAGTTTTACTTTGTTCATAAGATTCTTCATCCAAACTTTTTACCATTTGGTTATAGTTTTATCAAATTCTTGGAAACAATCCTACTTTCCAAGTAGGGATAAAGTCTGTCCACGCATACTCTCCGAATTTCAAAAAAAAAAATATGGAATTAATGTGCGTGATTTTGTGGGATGCAGGTGATCTTTGAGACGTCAAGACTAGCCACAATAGTGAATGGAGTCTTGAGGAAAACAACTCAAGATATAGAACTTAACGGTGAGTGTTAGACAATAATAATAGTAATAGTAGTATTAATTACGGTAGTGTTTGTTTATTAGTCAGCTTCTATTATTGACTGGAGAATAAAATATAATTCGGGACATCGGGATGCATTTATATTTGAGAGTGATGTGGGTATAGGCATTTGGTTGAATTGTTTCTCAAATTTACACACAAATATGAAGCCAACATAGCAAAGAGAATCTGATGAGTGAAAAGAGATAAACTCAGCTTCATTCCCAACAATGGACCCTCTCCTATCTTGAACTCACATGGCTTCACCTACCATTCCAGCACACAGTACACTTCATGTGTTTTGCCTTCCTGTCTAACTAATTCTTGTTCCTTAATCATTCAATCTCACTAAAACCGAAACCACCCGAACCTCAAGATTAGTCCATCTAATTACCCAGTAAACCCGATGATCATCGTCGAATTATGCATAATATGTATGTATATGTACGATACACGACTTGTCGGATTTTACTGCTTTTGTTGTCGATATTGTAACATTGTACAAGTATTATACACACACCTACATGGCCTCACCATATCCACTTGAATTGTTGTGTGGGTGCAGGTTATGTGATACCCAAAGGATGGAGGATATATGTGTACACAAGAGAGGTCAATTATGACCCTGAACTGTATCCTGATCCACATACTTTCAATCCTTGGAGATGGCTGGTCAGTAAACATGATTATTGCCCCCCCCCCCCAAATGTAAAATTTATTTAATTTGTAAAAAAAATAAAAATTGGGTTTTTAATGAAATGAATGAATAAAAAAATGCAGGATAAGAGCACAGACAACCAAAATCACTTCTTGATCTTTGGAGGAGGGACTAGGCAGTGTCCTGGAAAGGAGCTTGGCATTGCTGAAATCTCAACATTTCTTCACTATTTTGTAACCAGATACAGGTAAAAAACAAACACAAAATTACTTATGTATACTCGTTTTGTCCGGATTTAGTTGTCTGCTCTCTAAAATATCTCAAATTTAATGGGAGAAGAAAAAGAATGGTAAAATGACAAATTGGCCCTTGAACTTTGAAACTAGCAGATGGGAAGAAGTGGGAGGAGATAAGCTGATGAAATTCCCAAGAGTTGAAGCACCCAATGGACTGCACATCAGGGTTTCAGCCTGCAAATAATATATATTCAAAATATATATATATATATATATATATATATATATATATATATATATATTGTACATAGTGATGATGATGATGATGATGATGAAGAAGAAGAAGGGAGAATGTGAATATATGAAATGAAGAAGAGCGCAATGGATGTACAAAGTTGAGGTCCCCCATCTATCTAACACAAAAATATAATGTATGTGAATTATGATCAGATCAGAGTGTAACCCATTTTTTTGCAGAGGAAATAATTAGATCTCTTTGAATTGGCATGTTTATTTAGTTGCTTTCTATCTTCAAAGCTAGCTCCTGTAATGGCAATATATGCACTGTTTATCCTACATTAATCTTGTAAGGAATAATAATAATGTTTATAATAATAATAATAGTTGTTCTCTTAAAACAGAGTTCCTAGCTACTTCCCAGTGACTTCATTTTTTTTTTTGAAGGCTGTGACTTCATTTATTGTTTACTCTCTAAATATAGGAATACTGTACAAGTGGTAGAACTGTCAAAGAAGGCGCAGGAACAGTTATTTATATTCTAACACGCCCCCTCACGTACAGGCGTAGTCTTTTTCGAGCCTTGCACGTGAAACCTTAATGTTTTTTAAACTGGGTGGCGCTGAGTTTCGAACCTGTGATCGCTTAGTCAACGAGTCTCTGATACCATGTCAAAGAACCAACTCAACCACAAGCTCAAGCTTGTGGTTGTGGCCCAGGAATAGTTATTTATATTCTAACAAGAACTTTTTCTCAACGCATATTTAATAAACAAATCAATTCAAAAAAAATCAGCATGATGTATCAATGTATTTATCTATCTATACAGATGACATGTTCGCCTTTTGAACATGTGAATAATAACTCATTTTCAAGTACTTAGATGACATTTCACCATCGGTCCTTAAATATGAGCTATACTCTGAATTAGACAACCAACTGATTCTACTCTTCCTATTATTTGTAATTCAAGTTTTTAAGTTGGGGAGTATTTGAAGTTTGAATTATAAAATTCGGCACTTGTGAAATAATAAACTTGGGCTCAATTCAACCCCAAAGTTTACTCGAAATTGAGGAGCACAAGTTATTAAGTATAAAATAATGTTGGCATGTTTAGACGATGTGAGATAAGAGAACTCAACAGTACGTAATTTTTGTAATATTAGACTGATGATTGCTGAAACTTGGGTTAATATAAATAATAGCTTTTGTGAGTTAACATATACGGAATATGATTTTACTAACGTACACTTTAATACTGCCTTCGTCCCATAAAAATTTTCCACTTAAAAAAATGGGATATAAAAAATGTGTAATTTTGTTGTTAGCTTTCAATTTTGTCCCTACTTTATACTCAGTTCTAGGATAAGATAAGATATGATATACTCCGTATTGTACATGGTGTCATAGGTAACTTAATAATTAGTAAAGGTACAAATAGATTTTAATTGAAATCGGATGATGTTTTCGGGATAAATAAAAAGTGAAAGTGAATAGATTTTTTGGATGGGGGGGAGTATTTATATTCTCTTCTTCTTGAAACTAACTTCACGTTGCAGTTTACGATACCTGACAAGAATTATTTTCAAAATGATTTATTGAGAAATTGGTGAGGCATTTAAAAATAAAATGTATATATTATTAATTTTACCAAAAAACTATAAAACTAAAGGTGACATGATTATATTATTTTATCAAATAAGTAATGAAAATAGTCTTAGAAAGTATTTAGATAAAATTTGACACAGTGCATTGGGTCAATACAATATATGCATAACAAACTTACAACAATAAAAAAAACAGAAAGCCATGAGATATTACTTTGTTTAGGTATACTCCGAAGTAATAAATCTCACATACAAAAATAATTCATAAATAATATACAAAAATAATTCATAAATAATAAAAATAATAACGTAATGTAACCATAATGAATTTGTTAAACGGAGTACTTATCACATAAAATTATAATTTTAAAGAATATAAATTTGAATTAACCTAGGGGTACACTAACATGGAGTACCTCATTTGTACACCAAACTAACATAGACATACACAGACACATAATGTGTGTGTCTGCACCGACATTTTGTGTCTGTGTTAGGAGGGTTTTCAAATGGGGTACCCCATGTTAGTGTAGCCCTAGCATTGCCCTATAAATTTTTTTGTTTCCTTCATTCATTTATAAAGTCACATTTTTTTATATCATAGATTTATATAATGAAAAAAGCCAAGCAAATAGGTTAAGGAAAAAGAGAAGGAGTTTCAATAATGTTAGGATGAGTGTTATCTGCAGGCCTTTTCGAAGATTATATTATTCCCTTCTCGGCCATCCAATAATCGTGACCCACCCAACCCAGCCCAACCCAACCAAACCCAACCCAAATGATACCTTGTAGCAAACCAAACGGAAACAAACAAATAAACAGTACAACTTAAATAAACAACACACATGATATAGTGCTCCGTTAAGTTCACGCTTTGCCGGTGACGACAATAAATGTTTTAGAGTGCGTGGGAAGTGCAACATTTTATACGGTAGATACATTAATAATGTACGAACGTTATGTTCCACAATTTAACCCTACGAGTGAACTTACCCAACCAACAACGACAACATAAATTCCCTACTCAATGCTACATTTTATACATTTGCCTTTGAATTGATATGGCATTATGGACGCACTTCTTTAATTTAATGCCCACGTACAACAATATAATTCAAGTGTACCTTAACCATTGGTGAAGCCAATAAGAACATGCTAATTAATTAATAAGCACCAATACAAAAGACATTCAACATATAGAAATGGAATACTCCGTATAATATAATGGGAACTCCACTGCAGTAGTCCACACCCACACTGCAACCATTAATAATCGATCACATTACTATATTATTTTGGGGAAAAAATGTTCATAGCCAAACTCATAATTTGGGGAAAAAATAATGTTGCTCTAACTTTAGTATTTTGCTTTTGTGTAAGTGGAATTTACTTATTCCGTATATAATACTAATTAAAATATACGGAGTAATAATATTTCTAATGTAGTACTATATGTTTCAATTTCCTAATTCAATATATAGTACCACTGGACATCATTCTAATAAATTTCTACCGTCACTAAATATTGTTCAAAGTAATCGTCCACCGCCACTGGACATTGTTCAACTACTATTTAGTGAATAAAAAATTTTAAATTATTTTAGTATTATTTTATGCATATTTTACTTTATGTAAATACAACAGCAACGTTGAATCACAAAAAATAGGGTCAAATAATTAAGAAAAGTTTATGTATGTGGATATTACTCCTACTCTAAAATAGAGATTATAAATTGAAATATTTGCACTAAATAGCACTAAACTTAAGTCATTTCCTTAAATATATAGCACTTAAACTATTTTATTCTCTAAATAACACTTAATAATATTCATAATGTCTAGTGATGACACTTGAATAATGACTAATGGATAATGACTAAAAATGCTACAGTGGAAAAAAATACATATCATGCTATTTAAAGAAAGTCTTTATGTATTATTGCTATTTAAGTAAATTATCTTTATAAATTTACTAACCACGCTAAACTAGCCTTTTATATTAGTTTCCCCTCACATATAACCAAACTAGTCATGGGCCGCCTATGTTAATATCTAGAAAATTGGACATCCATCAATTAACATATCCAAACATGCAATAATAATAATAATAATACTCGATCCGCAATTGACTCGGAGCGTTTTTTCTCTTCAATTTAGGCAATTCAACTCAAGGCCTCCCAGCAAGTGCGGTATTGTGCATGGTTTGAACAAGTCCTCAGCCATACATATATCTATGCAATAATCCAACAACCTATTGCTATATATATATATATATATATATATATATATATATATATATATATATATATATATATATATATATATATATAACAATCCAAATAAAACACACATTTTAGCAGTAATTGATTTCATTGAGGAAGCCAATAATAATGGCCACAACCACAAGCCCTCCTCTCAAAGATGATTTGGACATAGTGATCCCAACCATAAGAAACCTCGACTTCCTAGAGATGTGGAGGCCCTTCTTCCAGCCTTACCATATCATCATCGTCCAAGACGGTGACCCTTCACAAACCATCAAAGTTCCCCCGGGTTTCGACTACGAGCTCTACAACCGTAACGACATTAACAAGATTCTGGGCCCGCGCGCTTCTTGCATCTCCTTCAAGGACTCCGCCTGCCGCTGCTTCGGCTACATGGTCTCCAAGAAGAAGTATATCTACACCATCGACGATGATTGTTTCGTAAGTACATAATGTTTGAGTATAAAACACTTCTGGATTTATACTCGCAAGCTTAAGATTTTCGTTAAAATATCATTTTTCTGAACTTATAATCACAATCTGCATGTTTTTTTCTGACATGCAGGTTGCAAAAGACCCCTCTGGGGAAGACATAAATGCACTTGAGCAACACATCAAGAATATTCTCTGCCCGTCGACGCCTTACTTTTTCAACACCCTTTACGACCCGTTCAGAGACGGTGCCGATTTCGTCCGTGGCTACCCTTTCAGCCTCCGAGAAGGCGTGCCCACCGCCGTTTCACACGGCCTCTGGCTCAACATTCCTGATTACGACGCGCCGACGCAGCTCGTCAAACCCCTCGAGAGAAACACCCGGTGTGCACCAAGCTTTTCTTATTCTTATGAAATGTCCCAAAATACATAATCTTTTCATTAAAACTACAATCACAAGCTTGAACTTTGGTGCATGGGATTTTCAGGTACGTGGACACTGTGTTGACGATCCCCAAAGGGACATTGTTTCCGATGTGTGGTATGAATCTGGCCTTCGACCGCGACCTCATTGGCCCCGCCATGTACTTCGGACTCATGGGTGACGGCCAGCCCATCGGTCGCTACGACGATATGTGGGCAGGTTGGTGCTGCAAGGTATGTCGAAACTTACGTGTCTAATAAATTAAAACCACAAGTTTTAAGTTTTGGATGAATTATGCAACGAAGTGAACGTACTTAACGCCCATGCATGCATGCAGGTGATATGCGACCATCTGGGATTGGGAATAAAGACGGGGCTGCCCTACATATACCACAGCAAAGCTAGCAACCCATTTGTGAACCTGAAGAAGGAGTACAAAGGCATATTCTGGCAAGAGGAGATTATACCCTTCTTCCAGAGCGCCACCCTCTCCAAGGACGCCACGACGGTCCAAAAATGCTACGTCGAACTGTCGAAACAGGTGAGAGAGAAGCTGGGGAAGCTCGACGATTACTTCGTCAAGCTTGCAGATGCCATGGTCACCTGGATTGAAGCTTGGGACCAGCTCAACCCAGCTACCCAGACTTCTTAGCTTGCTAGCTAGCTAGCTTAATTTCCCATATATGAACATTTGTATTGTTTTGTATTACCTCTCGTGGCTCCAATTGTTATTTTAATTTTTTTATTGAGTAAATTTTATAAATAGTCCCCAATTAAGATTAGTTTTTCAATATATAGTCCCCGATTTTTAGATATTAAATTTAATAAATAGTCCTCAGTTTTGGAAAATTATTTCATAAATAATTCTTTAAGCCAAATATGAGAATTTTTTTTCTTTCAAAAATAGTCTCTCAAGGACTGATTATGAAATAATTATTAAAAATTGAAGACTATTTATGGAATATCTAAGAATTGAGGACTAAATATGGAAAAACACATGTAATTAGGGACCATTTATGAAATTTAGTCTTTTTTATTTCATATTTTTTTGTTTTTTTCTGTCTCCAATGAGGCGATGTTTAGTTTGGTGTTGCACTGTTTAACATTTTCATGTTCGTTCACGTATTTGTGACTCTGGTTATAATTAGGTTAGCGTACACCAATGGATTTAATTGTTGAATTCGAATGATTATTAACTAACTGCTGCCTCAGCTAAAACTCCCTTTGTCTCATGTTTTTCTTTTTGTTTTGACTTTTATGATCAATATTTGTAATTTAATCATATATTACGAAAAACTACATCAAATTATTATATAAAATTTAATATCAATAAATTCATTCAAAATGTGTTCTCAACAATTAAACCTAAATCAAATGTTTTCATTAGATGACAAACATTTAATTTAGCCAAATTAGTAACAAACTCTCTTGAAAAATGTGTAGAATTTTAGAAAATAACTTCTCAACGTTTCATTATGCACAGGAAGCTCAAATATATATACAACCTAACACTTCGTAGGATCAAACATAGACTACGTGCCTAAATTAATTTAATTACATAAAATAAAAGATACTCCAATACTCCCCTCAAGTTTGCACTGAGTATAAAAATGTCCAACTTGAAGAGAAGAACACGAAAGAGGGGACCCGGATAGGACACACGCCTTTGTGAACATACCGGCAAGCTAAAGTTGGTGGCCGGGAGTGGATGGGGACATATATATGCGGCGTCAACATGTCCTCATTGAACACATTAACGATGTGGCAATCAATATCTATATGCTTTCAACTCTTAAGAGTGATTTTTTTTCCAAATGAATAGAAGCACATGCTTTTCTGAAAACAAAAGACTAAAAGAAGACAACTTTTATTCAAGGACGACCCTAAAAAATAAAAACACAATTTTGATGGGGTAAAAGCACATGCAAAGAAACATGTTCTGTCAACAATAATGATGGAACTACAAAAATGTTGAGAACAGGGGCTTACATATAGTCACAAATGCTTGCACATTTTTGGTAGGTGTAATTAAACTCTACCGGTCGAAATTAATCAAATAATGATTATAATTAGCACTTAGCAACATAAACACGTACGTAGCATATACAATGACCATAGCTTTGTACTTTTTTCATATATTTAGAAAGCGTACTCTACAAAGTTGTTTCCATATTAATGGTAAGTTTGCAACAATAATCACAACACCCATTTACACTATTTAATTGAGATTTATTAAGACCCCTTGTGTTCATCTTTCATTTCATTTGTTTTGAGTTGTCACCTAGCCTTATATGTTTATTTCAATCCTTTAAGGGATGGTTGTTCAAATGGTTAAGAAAACGTGCAAAAGAGTGTTATTGAAATGCAATGTGAGATGTTTTATGCTTTAATTTACGTAAAAGATAGATTATTGTACTCTTTATTGGTCTGTTGAGATTGTATAGTGAAATATTTGCACTAAATAGCATTAAAATATAAATCTTCCAATATAGTACTTAAACTTTTTTATTTCATAAATATCACTTAATAATGTTTCGAAAGAGGAATAATTTCCAGTGATGGTGAATTTTTACTTGAATAATGACTAATGGAAAAAGACTAAAAGTGATACATTGAGAAATAAAAATATGAAATATTTGCACTAAATAGCACTAAAACTTAGGTCATTTCTCTAAATAGTACTTAAACTATTTTATTCCCTAAATAGCACTTAATAATATCCACAATGTCTAGTGATGACAAACATTTACTTGAATAATGACTAATGGATAATGACTAAAAGTGATACATAGGAAAAAGACACATGATATGTGATGCTATTTAGGGAAAGTCTTTATGTTTTAGTGTTATTTACGTAAATTCCACTAAAAATATATGATGCTGTTTGGAAAAGTTATTAGATTCTAGTGCTATATGTTGGATTTTTTACTCGTATTAATTTGTAAGACTATTTAGATAAATTCCTCTTATTGAAATGCAATGTGAGATGTTTTATGCTTTAATTTACATAAAAAGACAGAAATTTTATTGTTCTGTTGAGATTGTAATTTTATTTATAAACTGTGAGGTAACTATCTCTCTGTCCTAAATGAATCATAGATGAGGTTAATCCTTCTTTAAAAATCCTTAAGATTTTAATTTTCTATATTTTTTTAATTTTTATGTGGTGCCAACTCCAAGCATTTAAATTTTCAAAAGCATAAAAACACCAAACAAGTGGGACAGAAGTTTTCAGTGTGTCCATCTAAATATGGCGATAAAGTGAAATTAACAGCGCTCGAAGTAATTTGCATGAAGAGAACCCACTCAAAATGTGACACGTGGCACGAGACCCCAATAAACCCACCGGTCATTTCAGTGATTTTTCTCCCCCCCACTGGAAATTAGGCGAATTTCACTGTCACTGTAGCGCCGCGGTGGTCCAATGGGGCCGTGGCGGGACTCTCCTCGCGTGCCGCTCACAGAGGCGATAAGAGACAAGCGTTTACTTCCACGCGCAGGGTCGCGAGTAGGAAAGGAGAGAGGGAGTGGAGCTGGGCGAAAGTGGAAACCAGGAGACTAACCCTAGCTAGAAAATTTCCGGAAATGGGAACATAGATAACCCAGCCTTTGGTTAAGCTCCAAAACAAAGGAAGGGGAATTTTATTAATAAATCAAAGATCAAAACCCATTTCGAAATCGTTTCATACAGATAATCAATAGATTCCTCATCCGATCTGATCGAGCTAGGGTTTTGAATCCGAATCGATGAGTCATATACAGGTTCGAGATTTATAAACCAGATCGAGATCGGAGATAGTAGCTCGCTAGCTAGATCTGAGATCGGCGGCGGCGGCGGCCGGAAAATGGGGCGGGGGAGAGTGGAGCTGAAGAGGATCGAGAACAAGATAAACAGGCAGGTGACGTTCGCCAAGAGGAGAAACGGATTGCTGAAGAAGGCGTACGAGCTCTCCGTGCTCTGCGATGCAGAGGTCGCGCTCATCGTCTTCTCCAACAGGGGAAAACTCTACGAGTTCTGCAGCAATTCCAAGTGCGTACTATATATACTCTCTCCATATATTTATTCAATTCCAAGCTCCATCTTTAATTTCTCCCATTTCCTGATCTATCTGAAATATTGTTTTTGGCTAATTTGGGCGGGACTAGTTCTCCATTTTTTTTAATAATCCAACTAATTAAGCAAAGACTTAAGAAATACTCCGTCAGTGGCGGATCCAGGATTGTGAATGACTGGGGGCAGTATAGCAAAGCGGGGGTTCGGGGGCTCTGCCCCCGATTTTTTTTTTAAATGTATTTTATATCATGATGAAAAAATTAATTTTATATCAAACAAATTTAAAATAAGAAAAACAAAATATTTTAAAATTAGTAAAATTATACTCCATCCGTCCCAATTTAATTTATAGCGCCTGTTTCAGTTTACGATGTTTGACTGAAAATCATGGCCACGCGGTTGACACGGTCCTCTAATCAAATATTTTCTTCTTATTTCATCTCTTTGATTAGGGTGATACTCTAAAAAATTTTTTCTGTCTGAAGGATCCCACAGAAGATCACTTAAATCTATTTCTTTAACTATTGAAGGTACAAATGGTCCAG